TACGCCTAATGATGTTTGGGGTACCCCAGCAGCCTCCCTGGAAAGGGCTGACATCTTTGCTTACCACGGCTGTAAGGTAAAACACAGCCTGTTTGACACTGCAAGCTCTCCCCTCTGGGAGAGGACATTGTTGGACAGTGTTAGTTCCCGGTGACCAAAAAGAGACAGGGCGAACCCAGGGAAATGCAAGATGAGGGGTGACCCGAAGGACCCAGAGGAGCAAGAAAGGTTTCCTATTAATACATGGGGATGCAGAGCTCCAAAACCAGCTGCAAAAGCTGAAGGCAGCTACGGTAAAGCCAAATACTTCTCCTCTTTTTCCCCGTCCTCGAGCCGCGGGGAATTGCCATCAGCTCCGACATCGGATGCCGAGGTAAAGCCCTGGCACGGCTGCAAAGCAGGTTTGGGAGCCAAGCCGTGCCATCTTCCCTTAAGTCACTTCCTTGCCTAATTCATTTAATCCGGTTTAATAGCTATCGCGCCGCACGCCCTGCTGGAGCCCCGGGGAGATGGGCTGGCTGCCCGTCTTCTGCCCGGAATCGCAGCCGCCTCGGCAGGGCAGCTGCCTCCCGTCTGCCTCTCTCCTTCTTCCCGGGGCTCTGCTTGCCTTCCCGCCTCCCGAAGGAGCGGACCATCAATCCCAGAGGTGCTCCACAGGGATGCCGGGGCTCAGACACAGCGGACTGCACGCAGCACATCACGGCACCCACCGGCGGAGGCTGTCCCCAAATCCTGCCCTCCTTTGCTGACGGCCATGAGTGGGGTCGTGGGGCTTTTGGGGGTCCCAGCAGAGCACTGGGGCTCAGCCAGGAGGCCAAAGCAGCTGAAAAAAAATGGGGGCTTGCTCCTTGCTGACAGCACACAGGTCATAGAATCATAGAATCACAGGATGGTTTGGGTGGGAAGGGACCTTTAAAGGCCATCTAGTCCAACCCCCCTGCCATGAGCAGGGACATCTTCAACTAGATCAGGTTGCTCAGAGCCCCGTCCAACCTGACCTGGAGTGTTTCCAGGGATGGGGCATCTCCCACCTCTCTGGGCAACCTGGGCCAGGGGCTCACCACCCTCAGAGTAAAACATTTCTTCCTAATACCCAGTCTAAATCTTCCCTCTTTTAGTTTAAAGCCATTCCTCCTTGTCCTACAGCTACAGGCCCTGCTAAAAAGTCCCTCCCCGTCTTTCCAAACAAGGCCAGAAATGGATCAAGCGAGAGGGAAGCTCCCTTCTTTTCTTCTCTACTGGTCAAAAATGCCCATTTTCCCCAAAACTCTGCCTTGCATCGCCATCATTTCCCATCCAAACCACAGCCCGCTGCCTGCACCCTTTGTGTTGTTCTTTTTAAGGGAGTCAGCCCAGGAGGAGAGGCAGACATTGGCCTCCCCGCTGCCACGGGGAGCAGCTCAGAGCCACCCTCCTGGCTGCTCCGGCTGGTTGAGGAGGGTCCCCATCCCCCGGGTCCCACAGCTCCCCGCTCCCTTAAGCAGCAGCGTAAAGTTTCTCTCCGTTTTTAAGAGGTCTGGCGAGGCAGCTGACGCCATCCCTTGTCCCCAAGGGGTGGCTTCTCCCTCGCTCCTCTTCGGCAGCTTGATTTCCAGATGGGAAATACAGACGTAAAGACCTGCCCGGCGCTTTCTTGCACCAGCGAGTTTCCGGCTCTGCTCCACAGTATGGAAATAAAAAATCATTAAGGGTCGGCGCAGACAACAAAATGACACTTTGGCATCTTGCGTTTAAGCCAGGCAGACGTCGATTGAGCTGAAGAGAGTCAAATTAATTTGGCTTTCGTAATGGCTCCTGCGTGACGCTAATAAAAGCAGTGTTTTGTGCAGGCTCAGGATACAGGGAGATTCATGGCCCTCCTGGTCTTTGCAGAGCTCTCATTAAGTTGCTTTTCTCATCTGAAAGATGGAGCAGGAGGTCTGATTGGGTTTTGTTTGGGGTTTTTTTTCCTGTTTTCTGGGCTCTGGGGGGCAGCAGCACCCGGGGGTATCCCATGAGGTTGGGGTGGTCCAGCACACCCTGCTCGGGGGGCTGAGACCGTGTCCCTGCCTGAGGAGCGGCGTGTAGAGCGGTCCCCGAGCAGAGCCGTGTCCCGCAGCATCTCTGGGCGAGGTACCCATCCCTGCAGGATGCATCATGCCAAAGGGACTGAGGTCTCGGGGGGG